CCACCTCACCTAACAACAAAACGTACGTGTTCTCTCGTGGAATTCTTTGAACGAAAAGGAAAACGAAAAGGAATGTTTTAAAAAGGGAGAGAAAAAAGAGGAATTTGGCGCCTTCCTTGGTCTATTTAAAGATTAAAACTATATAAAAATATTCTGCCACGTGGATAATAAAATACAACAACAACAACAACGATATACAAATACAAATAGAAACATATTTTTCTTATTTGATTTTATACTTTAATAGAAGTTTGCACCATTTATTATTTGATTTTACTTGTTGTTTTCTTTAAGACACTGATATTATATTTCTGTAATTGTAATTATTAACAATTAGTTATGTTTTCTGACGCAGGGATTAGGATGTAACCGAACGGACGACTTCAGTACACCTGTTAGTTCTGGTAGCAACATGGGAAGTATAGCAAGGTTTCCTAAACTCGACGAGTGTGCCCACTTCCATTACGAGCACGTGGAATTGGGTACATTGGAGGTCAGTTTATTTCCAAACAAAAAATTATATTCTTATTAAACAATAATTCAATTGAAAGAAAATTAATGTTTAATTCATTTGTAGGTATCCGTAAGCGATGGCAGCAACGAAACAGACACCTATGCTGTTAGGGTAACTTCCGGTGACGCATGTTGGACCCTACAACGATCCTACGACAATTTCGTAATGTTCGACAAACAATTGCATCGATGTATATTCGATAGAAAATTTTCATCCCTGCCTAAATTACCCGATGCAAGGCCTAAATTACATTGGGTTATGATAAAGGATTACCTCCAAAGATTCTCACGCCTAAATCACGAGGGTCTTAATTGCGGTCCCGTTTTAAATTGGTTGCAATTAGACAACAGGGGTAGAAGGATACTGGTACCGGAATCAGATTCCTGTCCCATAAACACGCCAGCTGTTGCAGCGGCCTATGCTGTTAGACCTTACGTTGCACAGGCCCAGGATGAAATCTCATTTCAGGTTTAGATTTGATTTTTTCTATTTCTATTTCTATTTAAACGTACGTTCGTTAGTTAGTTTCCTATATTTGGACTAATGATTTCCAAGATAGATCGTTCAACAAGTATTACAATTAATTAATCCGTAATGGTTGAGAACTACTGATCTTAAATGATTTTGTTTGTTAACTTGATACCTGTTCTCTGTTTCTTTTTTTTTTTTTTTTTCTTTCTTTATACCCAGATCTAGTTTTTTTTAATTTAACATCCTGTATGTATTAACATGGGTACATCGTAAAACGTATTTTACAGGTCGGAGACATGATCTCGGTGATAGACATGCCACCACCAGGTGAAAGTACGTGGTGGCGTGGTAAACACGGATTCGCAGTCGGCTTCTTCCCAGCTGAATGTGTCGCGGTAATCGGAGACAAAGTTCCACGTCATTTAACAGTCTCGGCTACGGTCAGATCGAAATTACCGGTAAAACCGGTGCTTAGAAAGCACGGAAAATTAATTGCCTTCTTCAGATCGTTTATCTTGAACAGACCGTCTAGGAGAAGGTTAAAACAATCTGGGATTTTAAAGGAACGCGTATTTGGTTGCGATCTGGGTGAACATCTTTTGAACTCTGGTCAAGATGGTAAAACATTAACATTATTATTATTTGATTTGATTTGATTTGATTTTGTTAAAACTTTTAATGTGGTTTTATGATTTCTTTTCAAATATATAGTTCCAACGGTTCTAACGTGTTGCGCCGAATTCATTGAAAACCATGGCCTCGTCGATGGTATTTATCGATTGAGCGGTGTCACCTCCAACATTCAAAGATTAAGAAATGCGTTCGACGAAGATCGCGTTCCAGCATTGCATTCCGACGAAAGTATCTTACAGGATATACACTCCGTTGCGTCCCTATTGAAAATGTATTTCAGAGAATTACCGAATCCCTTGTGCACCTATCAACTTTATTCGACATTTGTCAGCGCCGTTCAAGCAAATACCGACGCGGAAAGATTGAGACGAATGAGAGATGCCGTTAGAAAATTACCCCCACCACATTACAGGTAATTCATTGTTAATTGTTATTAGAATACGTTGAACAAATATAGGAATGATACACGATTAAAAAGTCAGTCACGTTTAATATATATTTGTTTGTGTGTAGAACTTTAGAATATTTGATGCGTCATCTGGTAAGAGTGGCAGCACGTGGCTCGGAAACTGGGATGACACCGCGAAATGTTGCAATCGTTTGGGCACCTAATCTTTTGCGATGCAAAGAATTGGAAGTTGGTGGGGTGGCTGCCCTACAAGGTGTAGGAGTACAAGCAGTGGTGACAGAATTTTTGGTCTGTTACGCTGAATTAATATTCGGCGATGGACCGGTCGGTAGGCCAAAATCTTTAGCCATAACGACACCTGCTCGTTTGCTCAGTTTGGAGGAAGCACGAAATAGGAGTGTGAGAGGGGAACCAGATTATATTGAAGTTGGTGCGGGTCCAGCAGGTTTGCCATTGCATTATCATACGGTGATAGAACTGCCACGAAAGAGAAATGGCTCGAAGCGTTCACCGTCATTAAACTGGAGAGCTTTGTTCGGTAGAGGTGGTTTGGGTGGTACCAGAGGCAAAGCCAGACAAGTTGGCACGCCACCCCAAATAGAAACGGTGCCAAGTTCCTTAAACTCTTTGCGACGATTGAGACCAGTCAAAAGTGCGGATAGTTTGGATGGCGAGGACAGTTTGGGTCCATTATTGGGACCACCACCGGCGAGACCTTGCGGTCATAGTAGATCAGTATCTCACGATTCTTATTTCGATCATCTGGCCGATGCACCCAATCCTACATCGCCACTCGATCTTTCGGAGATCCAACTTAATTTTGATCTCGAGGAAAGAGAGATGAGAATGTTTTCGGAAGAGGAAAGTGCTGGAGTTGCTTCGGTCGAAGCATCACCTCGACGACAGAGGACGGAAGGTACTCAGTGTCCCCCAGTTACCGGAGGTTCCAAAAGAAAACGATCGAGACTCGAAGAACGATTGCATTGTGACGTCGAATTACGTTTTATCGATAGTCAAAGTCCTGATCAGGTGTGTGTTTCTAAAATAACGTGACCACAAATCTGTCAATATAATATTCTAATCTATTTAATATGGATTTATTTTTCAGGTAATGGTATCAGCAGACGTACACAACATGGAAACACCATCGCCGTTACCAACTCCAGGTTATTTGCCATTATTATCCGAAGCATCGACTCCTTTGACTCCGGCAACGTTGCAAGGAACTTCAAATTCGACTTCACCGATACCAGTTAATAGTCCTAGAATTAGTTTTCGAAGTTTTACTTTGCCGTTAGAGATAGACGACGAACAAACCAATACGAATAATAATTTGAACAGAGCTAGCGTGTCTTCCGATAAAACATCCGACCCTAGTCATAGGTTATCAGTAAGTTTAAACGAACAGAATAACGCTAAGTCTTGCGAAATAATACGTAGCTACGATAGACACGAGGATCATCATTATAGTAAAAACACTATAATCGAGTCAAACAAAGCTCGAAATAACGAAGAGTCGACGGACGCTGGAATATCTGATATTCCGGATCAAGAAATGACCCCTTGCGAGAGGTTAATATCATTGTGCAGCGAAGTTGAATCAAGTAGATTGACTTCACCCTCTAAAGACATAACGGACGAGTCCGAATTATGTCAAATGGAGAAAAATCAATTGAGTATAGATAAGAAGGATACATCGAATGTTAAAAAGAAAGAAAAAACCCCAAATAATAATAATAATAATAATAACAATAATAATCATCATCATTATCATCATCGATCAAATGATATACAGAATCAAGTAATGATAGCCGAAAATTCCGATTTACACGGGCAACATTTATCCAACACAACTGATCTTGATTCACCGATGTCTTGCGAACAAACTTTGGAAGATCTGCCGGATTCCGGTTTCGTAATATGCGATAGTTCCGATAAAATCTTTACAAATACGGAAACGCAACCTATGGTTACCACGACTAATGATTCTGGGGAATGGGTTATCGTCGAGAGGACAACTGGTTCGATTACAACACCCAGCAGCGAATCGAGTAGTCCTAAAGATCCTTTAGAGGGTACAATGAATCCTGCCATTGCTACGGAAGCACCACAATTGAGATCAATGTCGGAAAATATTTCACGAACTTCTTTGGATCTTACTATGGGTTCTACCGTAGACACGGACACATCTTGCATCGGTGCTAGCGATTTAACCGAGAGTCCTGTTCTCGCACAAGTTTCCGGTGACATGACGTGTGATGTTAACGATGTCAAAGATTACAAAGATTTCGATGAACATGACGACACTCAGAGACCATCAACCACCACATACACCAACGAATTTACGAATGATTTACCTTCCCTATTACAAGATCAAGACAACGGTAACGAAAAAGTTTGCGAGCTCAATATAACCGACATCGAATCTAATCAGGAACCGTCCGAAATGAAAATTGACAACAATTCTTCTTTCGTTCGTCTTGACAACAATACTCATTTACAACAGGGCAATAAGAAAAATCAAGAAAACAAAAGAACCGAATGCGAAACCGATATGACGAAAAATATGAAATTGAAACAAAAGCAACAGGAGATACAAAGATGTTCACAACAATTGGACAAGAATAAAGAAATCTGTGGAATCGGAACGGAAGAAGAGGATGACGACAAAGATGATATGTCCAACAAGTGCCAAAATTTCGATGTCAACAAAATATCTCAGAAACAACAGAATCAGAGTACCCAGAATAAATATATTACGAAACACGATAATAAAGAGAGTCCTAAAAGAAACAGTATACGTCATTCGCAATTAAGAGAGAACATAGAAGTTGTCATACCATCGGAGAACGCAGCTGAACCATGTGGGATCGCACACGTACCGGAAGGTGCATCCGAAGCAATGCCATTGGACGATTCCTCGTCATTTTCAAATGCATCCTCACCAGTGGACGATTCAATAGTATTACGAGATACTGCTGCCATTTTACAAGAGTTAGCATTGCAAAGATTGTCAGGTGGTATGGTTGGTGATTTGTCTATTCCATCTAGAAGAAGATACGAAACCGAAAACGTTGTCAATCGTGAACGCAGAAGTTTTGATTCCGAGATAGGTCGTGAAATAGTCAGGGAACGGAAAATGCGTCAAGAATTGGATTCCGCAAGGGGTAAATCTGAGGAACCACCTGTTAATATAACGAGCCATCATTTGCCACCATGTTTAAGGGCACGTCACGCGAGGGCAACTCGTGCAGCATTGAGCAGATCCCTCGACGAGGCAAAATTCAATCAAATGACCAGCGGTGATTCTTCCTTACCTGTCAAACAATCATCGAATGATGTTGTTCAGCATAGTTCGACACCTAACGTTGGCACCGTTACAACAAGCAGCAACAACAGCAGTAACAGCAATTCATCGTCCAATTGTTCCGAGAAAATTCAATTGAAAAATCTCGGTGGCCTAGATTTGGGTGACCCACAGTGTCGAGAAAGAATAGAAAAGTACAAAGAGGAAAGGCGGACGTTTCTAAGGGACAAATATAGGTCCGAAAGTTTTCGCGGTATGTCCTCGAAATCCGAAGGTGATGGTGAACAGGCCTTGCTCGCCAGATTAAAACAGAGAACTTCGACTAGGCCATCATTTCATTGACACTGAGCTGATACCAATTTCTGAACACTATTATCTTTCATCTTTCTATCTTTATCTCTGTCTGTCTCTATCATCCTTCGTCTTAGATTCAATTTATGAATATATGAATCTGCTAAATATATTAATGCTGCCGGATCCATTGCTTTTAACTTTGGAAATTATATTTTTTTTTCTTTTTTGTTTTGAGAATAAGACTCGCGTCTCGTTGTTTTAACGAGATTTATTATTTGTTCATTATTTTTTTTTTTTCTTTTCCCTTTTCATTTGTCTTTTCAATGATGATGATGATGAGAAATTGCACTGTCTAACATTGAACGTGCAATATTAAATATTAATGGTTTTTTTTTTCTGTTTTTTTTTCCCCCCCTTATCCCTTCCCTTATATAAATACTTCCTATAATTTATTATGCGATCGCGAGTGTAACCACATTTTCCTTATTTTGTCTTTTTCTTCTTTTTCTTTATTTTTTTTTTTACTACATTGTTATAAGAATTTTTAAACGATAAGAATATTTTTTAATGATAATATTTTCCCAAAGAGATAAGGTACGCGCGTCTAATCGTAATTTATTGTGTTTTTATTGTTATATTATTATTATTATTATTAATAATAATAATAATATCGGCTTCTATATATTGTACGTTTTTACTTGGAACGTGTATGTACCAGGGAGTTATGCGCGTGTATGTGTGTTGGTGGGTGTGTTTGTGCGTGTGTCTCTTTCACCATCTGCGGAATTGCATTTTTAATTGATTAATTAATAAAATAATTAATTAATTATTATAGGAAAAAAAAAGTATTCGAGTGAGGTGCCCCTCCTCCTCCTCGTGTGTTGGAATTCGTGTAACGAGAATATTTTGTTCAAACACGCTTCTCTTCTTTCGCATTTTTATTGTAGATTAAAAGAAAAGAGAAAAGAAAAGATAAGTTAAGAAAACAAAAAAAAAAAATAGAAGAAACAAATGGATGGCGTCGTTATGCGTTGTTTTTTTTTTTTTCATTGTTGAACAATTACTGATTTTTATGCTTAAAAAAAAGAGAGAGAAAAAAAAATAGATGAAATATCTTTTTTATATTGATATATGAAATGCGTGTTGAGATTAGTTTCTTTTTTTTATATATATATATATATATATAAATAAATATTAGCAAAGATTTTTTACCAAGCGCCTTATAATTCATTGTGCTTATGCGAATGATTAGTTTTTTCTTTTTTTTATTGAAAATAACGCGAGTTTTGTTGCTAAACGTTATAATTCGATCTCTGATACACAATTTATATAATTTAGATCGATTTGATATGTTTTCTTTTTTCTTCTTCTTCTTCTTCTTTAATTATATATATATTATAAAAAAAAAAACAAAAAAAACAAAAATGGAAAGAAAGAAAAAATGTGAATTATGTTAAAAGTTTGCTAAAAAGTGTAACAAATATGTTTATGTTCTTTTGTGGACTGGTCCACCCGATAGATAGATTTATAATAATAATAATAATAATAATATAGTAAATAGCTTTTTTTTTTGTTTTGTATATGATGCTCTTCATTTTTATTTAGTCTCTTTATATCTATATATATAAAAATAAAACACAAAAAAGTATAGAAAAGAAAAAAGAAAATAATTGAAGAAACACAAAAGAGTAATGCATATTAATGATATGTAATATGTATGTACACACATACACACGGTGTTTTATGTTTATTTATATATTTGATTTAATAAGCAAGATATTTTTTACGTGATACGCGATTATGAAAATTTACACTGTGTTCTTTGGTACCAATTTTTTTCGTCTCGAAAAATATATATGATATTATTTTAATTTTAAAATAAACACTAAAAATAGAAAATAATACAAGGATTATTAAATTGTATACAGGATGAGATGAGTCAATGAGAATTATTATAAATTATATCTATATTGGGTTTGTATATTATAAAGAGGGTGGGGTGGGGGGGGGGAAACAAGGGAAAATGTTTTGAAAACATTGTGATGGATTAACGTAGAATTATTGAATTTGATTTATTGTTTAAAAATACCTTTATGTGGCCTTGAATTACTTTTTCTTGATCAAAATGCACATCGTGTTTTCATTTAAATCTATATTATTTGTTTTTTCTGTTTATAAAATTAAATACCATTTAAAAGGGATAAAAAATTCTCATCAATTCATCCCCGGTATAAAAATAAAAAGTCGTAATAATAATTGAACATAAGATTTAGCATGATTAAAATTCGTCGTATTGGACGGATCTGAAAAAAAAAAGGAATGAAATAAGTTACGATTATAATTCAAAAAAAAATGTAATTGATAAATAATATTCTTCTTCCCATTTAAATATATATATCTGTCGCGAGGAAAAATTGTTAAAAAGTAGAAAAAAATAACAACAAAAAAAAAAAACAAAAACAAAGCTAAAGTGATTAATATCGTGTGCTATATAGTGAATTGATTATTTCATTTGAAAAAAAAAAAAA